TTTTTTTAATTTATTGTAGAGATGAGGTCTCGCCAAGTTGCCCAGACGGGTCTCGAACCCACAGGCTAAGGCAATCCACTCACCTCAGCCCCCCAAAGGCACGGGATTACAGGCTGAGCCACTGAGCCCGGCTGGCTAGTGAGTGGATTGCCTGAGCTCCTGTGTTCGAGATCAGCCTGGGCAGTTTGGCAAGATCTCGTCTCTACAATAAATCAAAAAATTAACCAGGTGTGGCAGCGCATGCCTGTAGTTTCGGCTACTTGGAAGGCTGAGGCGGAAGGATCGCCGGAGCCCAGCCGGTCGACGTTGGGGTGGCTGTGAGCGTGCCACTGCTCTCCAGCCTGGGCGACAGAGGGAGACTCCAGCTAAAAACAAAAAACAAAAAACAAAACCAATAAAGAGCAAATAAAAGTTTATGTTGTATAATAATTTCAAAGAATCATTGGTATGTCACTCCAAATAAATTTAGTAGAGAGAACATAGTACTGCTGTTGATAATCAGACAATTGAGAGTCATCTCCCTTCTTTGGGTTTGCTTCTATACTCATAAAAGGATTAGGCTATACCGTATTTCAAGTTTTTAAGATTTGGGAGTTTACCCGGCTTTCCATAATACCTGTTCCTGAAAAGTTGCTCTTAAGCTTTTGCCAGAGTGTCTAAACGCACCAAGAATATAATTATTTACATGACAATTACTGCCAGGCTGAAATTTCCAGAATTCTTTTAGAGATGGGATCTCACTTTGTCATGCAGGCTAGAGTGCAGTGTGGTCATCACCATAGCCTTGAACTTCTGAGCTCCTCTCGCCACTCCCTCCCAAGTAGCTGAGACTGTAGGCATGAACCACTATGTCTGGCTATTTTATTTTTGTAGAGATGGCATCTTGCTATGTTGCCCAAACTGGTCTTGAACTACTGACCTCAAGCAATCCTTCTTCCTGGGCCTCTTCAGTAGATGGGATTATGTGTGTGAGCCACTTCATCCGGTTTAAAATTAATTTTCACTTATCAAGATTAAAAATAATTTTTTAAATTTGGGGTCGCTAGAGTGTAGTGGCACAATCACAGCTCACTGTAGCCTCAACCTTCTGAACTGAGTGATCCTTCTGCCTCAGCCTCCTGAGAAGCTGAGACTACAGGCACAGGCACAGCTACCACACCTGGCTAATTTTTGGTAGAAACAAGTTCTTACTGTTGTTGCCTAGGCTGTTCTCAATTTCCTCGACTCAAGCAATTCTCCTGCCTTGGCCTCCCAAAATGCTGGGGTTACAGGTGTAAGCCACCATGCCTAGCCTCGAACTCTCTGAAAGTGAACACCATCCACATATTTATAGAAATCATCAAGAAAAAGATACTGTGATATATATTCTTAGAGTATAGAACTGGTGTATTTGTGTAAGTTATAAGTCTGGAAAAGTGTGAAGACAATAAACTAATTCATGAAACTTATCTAACCACTCTTTTTGTACTTGGAGGATAGAGCAGGAGCTGTGCACACACTGCTAACCATTTCCCTAGGATTAGTGCTCACATCCAAATTGTACCATAAGCCCAAAAGCCAAATGTTCAGAACAAGGTATTTGAGGCTATACTAGCTAAGGATAAAAATTGGTATAAGCCATTATAGGTGAGAAGGACTGAGACTTTCATATTACATTACAAATGTAAGGGATGATATTACTCAGTTACCGAGGTCCAGTTTTTGCCCAAGGTTGCAGATCTAATCAGTGTTGGCTGAAAAGAGAGCCCAGATCTGACTGCCAATTCTTCTACCTCATACTGTCTTCTAAAACCAATAAGGCAAATGATGCTCTGTAAGAGAAATCTGAATGGATATGAAATCTTAAAAGGATCTTACGGTACATCTAGTTCAACTTCCCATTTAAATCTAGAATTTCTTCTGTGACACCCATGATAGATGTAATTTGGTTTCTGTTCCGCCTCCAGTTGTAAAAGATACTCGTTAATTTTTAGAAGGTAACTTCTTTCCTTTATGGACAAATAACCAAAGCTTTTTTATATTGACCTTGACCTCCTGGGCTTAGGCTGACCTTCCACCTCAGGCTCCCGAGTTTTTGAATTTGTTTACTGGACATTTTCCACACTGGAAACCACCTCAGGACTTGCTCTAATAGGCAAATATTCTTTCATTGCACCCTAGAACATTAGTATTGCAAATGTGGTTGACTAGCACTGTTTGTATACCAAGATTACTTTCTCATGATGTATTTTTCAGTACCCTAAGATTAGATCAGTTTCTGAACACTTGGCTTATACGTTATTTCTAGCAAGCTCTAGATTTTTTTCATCTATACTCTTGACAAATATGATTTCACATTTGTTAAACTTTATTGCTTCTAGGATAAATACCAGGATTCGTGATGCCATTTATGATTGCCGTTCTAATCAGCCTGTGCCAGCCTCATCCCATGCCAATCTTTCCCCTTGACCCCTGACCAGTCTTCATACCTTTTTTTTTTGAGTCTGAGTCTCACCCTGTTGCCCGGGCTGGAGTGTCATGTGGCATGCTCAAGGCCACTGCAGCCTCGTCCTGCTAGGTTCAGGTGATTCTTCTGCCTCAGCCTTCCAAGTGGCTGGAACGACAGGCGTGTGCCACCATGCCAAGTTAATTTTTGATTGTAAAGATGAGGTCTCACCAAGTTGCCCAGACTGGTCTCAAACCCACGGACTCAGGCAGTCCTCTCACCTCAGCCTCCCAAAGAGTTGGGATTATAGGCATGAGTCACTACACCCAGCCTCTTCATACATTTTTTTTTTTTTTTGAGTTGGAGTCTCACTCTGTCACCCAGACTGGAGTGTAGTGGCAGCTCCTGGTCACTGCAGCCTCGACCTGCTGGGCTCCAGTGATCCTTCCGCCTCAGCCTTCCAAGTAGCTGGAACTATAGGCGCGCGCTACCACACCCGGCTAATTTTTTGATTTATTATAGAGATGAGGTCTCACCAAGTTGCACAGGCAGGTCTCGAACCCGTGGGCTCAGGCAATCCACTCACCTCAGCCTCCCAAGGCACCGGATTACAGGCTGAGCCACCGAGCCCAGCTCTCTTCATACATTTCAAATGCACCTTCCTTCCTCTGGGCTTCCACGTATTATTCACTCCCCTGAGCCAGAATATTTTCCCTGGGTCACCCACATCTGCCCAATTCATAGTTGTCCTTCAATGCTTAGTTCAAATACCACTTCTTTATGCAACTTTTCCTTGCCCTGCTCCTGGCGTTCCTCTCTCCAAAATACCTTTTAGCTTTTATAACATCCTACAAATCTCCGTCAGCCCTTATCTAAGCAGTAGTATTTGTGCAATGAGGTGTCTTGTCTTTTCAGCTACACTGTGAAGCCTACGAGAACATGGTTTGTGTGTCTTTACCTGACACTAGGTTTTGCATGATTTAGACATTCAATAAATACCTGTTGAATGAACAAATATACTAAATTAGGTTGACCAATATTTAGATTTCCTCAGGTAATCAAAGAAAACATTTAGCTAAGTCCTGGTTTGTATATTGTGTAAGGAAGAAACTGTATAGGCTACAAGACAATCTTGAGAAAGAAAAACTTCTCCAAAAGAAGTGATGATAAAATTTAAGAATGTTAGAACTGCATTCTATAAAGATAAATGGTAATTTTGTTTTTTACTTTTTTCTAATGTGGGGTGGGGAGCATGGAAGAAGGCAAATAAGAACAGCGAGTGGTATATTCGTTGTTTTACTGTTAATTTGACACATCTGAACCAAAGCATTCACAATACTTGATATACTTTGAAGAGAATCATATACTATAGTCTTAGACATAACCACAGAACAAGCAGAACAATTAAAACTACATAAGGCCTTAAAATATATCCACAGTGTGTATTATTTCAATATTCATTCATTTACAAATGAGACTACATACCATTAATATTATTTTTATTTTTCTTTCATCGTTTTATTCAGGCAAGGTTCATTCAAGGAAAGGCAACTTAGTTTTTTTGTGTGTGAGTTTTGTTTTTTGTTATATTGGTTAATATAAAAGCTACGAATTAATGTTTTCTTATTTCCTGTTCCCAGGAGTGAATCTAATTCTCAGATAATCCAAAACAATAGGCCCCATTCTTAAAAACAGCTAAGCTAAAGTGAAAAGGGATCAAATATAGCCAGTCTGTTTGTGGTCTTAAAGATCCAGTTTTTTATATAATGAAGATTCCTGCAATTCTAAGAGTAGTCAGAATTTAAAACATTGCATACAAAATCATCCTCGAAGCTCTAAATGTTTTTTAAATAACCAAAATGAAAATTTTAAGTTATTGTCTCACGTACCAAACTCATAAATCAAAACTAGTCAAAATTCAGTGCTATCGTAGCTTCGCATTTACAAGGTCAGTAATTGGTAAATTAACAGATGGCATAAAAATTAAGATTTACATCATTTTTAAGGATAAGTATATGACAATAAGAGGATACAGAAAATTCAATGTATTTTACAATAAACTAACCACTTAAACCCCTATCCCTGTACAACAGGGTGTAGGTTAACTCTAGTGAACTTGCATGTTTATTTTTTTACTTTTTTACAGTTTATTCTATCATGAGTACTTAAATTGCTATAGATATACAGGTTCCCCCCCCCAAAAGAATATTACATTTGTATAGCAGGATAGGATTTAGTACATTGAGATGTTTTAAAAATATTTATAAATTTGTTTCTAATATGCAAAAGCATTTGGCAATACTTTTACAGCATTTGATTTTATAGAATTAAAATTTCATACAGTACTTATTTTGGTGTTTAAAAATAATTCACAGAAAAAATATAAATTACACAGCCTGACTGCCTTATACTGTTATTTCCAGTTTCTAGTTCTGGTAATTAAAACCTTCATTAAGTCTGTTAACAAATCATTACCTGTACATTTATGAAGGCAACTGACATGATTTGCAAACAAACCTTCAGGTTTTATGTTATTTACCAAAGAGTGCAGTTCAGCAAGAAAAGAAAATCCAGTATGCAAATTTACAGAACATCTTACAAATTTACCAGTTCCTGTGACACAAACTGTTTCAACCTTTCGAGGTACTGCCCATAAAGTTCCACATCATTGTGACCTGCTCCTTCAACCCATAGAGGCTCCACGGGCCTTTGGCACCGCTCAAACAATGCGAGGCCATGTGAAAAGTCAATGACTTCATCATCAGTCCCATGAATTATTAATACTGGAGAGGTTATCTTAGAGATTTTGTCAATGCTGCAGGGAAAAAGGAAGGGGGGCAAATTCAATAAATTAATCATAGAAAGCGAGATGAAAAACAATATTTGTGCTGTATCAGCCAGCACAAACATCAGAATTGTATGAATCCATTCAGAAGTGATAAATGCCTCTTGAATTTCCAGTAAGATTCACAGTTGCCTTTTACATACCTCTTACCTTGAGATTATCTGAAAAAATTACTTTCATGAACTTCTTATCTGGTTGAATCACAATGTTACTGTCACCCTACTGTGCCATGCTACAATGTTGACTTTTAGCACAGAGACAAGGAAAAGGAGAAAACTAAGGAACATTTCAAGTAGGTGCTAATTTAAGTAGGTGCTAACTTCATCACTTTCTGCACTCATTACAGTCACCCACTAAAATCACAGCAAAATGTTTTATGTTTTTCTTATTTGAGGATATAAACACAAAAACAGAGAATATACTAAAATTTTGGAGATAGAAAACATCAATGTGAGAACTGAAAACACAGAAGAAAACACAATGTCAAACAGATGAAAGGTGAAGTAATGAACCAACCGGATCTGTAACAGAAGATACCCCTGAATGCGAAGGCGTTCCCATGGGGATGAAGGTGAATGATTAAAACACACAGGATCAGGCCAGGAGCTGGGGCTCACGCCTATAATCCCAGCACTTTGGGAGACTGAGGTGAGAGGACTGCCTAAGCCCATGGGTTCCAGACCAACCTGGGCAACTCAGTGAGAGCTCATCTCTACAGTATATCAAAAATTAGCCGGGTGTGATGGCTCATGCCTGTAGTTCCAGCTACTTGGAAGGCTGAGGCAGAAGGATCACCTGAGTCCAACACATCAAGGCTGCGGTGGCCATGAGCATGTCACTGCATTCCAGCCTGGGCAACAAAATGAGACTCCAACTCAAAAAACGATACAGGATTTGTTCAAAGTATGTTTAAGAAATAGCCTCCTCTTACCCATGTCCTTTTGCCTCTATGCAGCTAGGTAACTTGCCCTCCCTCGAGACTGAAGAGGCTGTGGGCTGGGATACTGTCAGTGTTAAGGCAGCAATATCGCAGAGACCAAGGAAACATACACACACTGGGTTCATAGCAATAAACTCATTTTCTGTATTTGACTCTCAGAATGCTGGCAGTCAGGCCTTCATTCTTCAACAGGGAGTTTTAGAGTCTTCTGTAGAGCTATCAGATCAGGTCTTTAGTCCCTCACTCATACATATGAAGAGACAACCACAGATTGTCAGACATCAGAGGAGAACAATTCAAATAAGGTAAGGATCAAAGATTTTTTAAAAGACGGTATTTTCTTTTTCTTTGAGTTGGAGTCTCACACTGTCACCCAGCCTCGACCTGCTGGGCTCCAGCAATCCTTCCACCTCAACCTTCCAAGTAGCTGGAACTACAGGTGCGCGTTACCACGCCTGGTTAATTTTTTGATTTATTGTAGAGATGAGGTCTTGCCAAGTTGCCCAGGCGGGTCTCGAACCCACGAACTCAGGCAATCCACTCACAGCCTCCCAAAGCGCTGGGATTACAGGCTGAGCCACCGAGCCCAGCTGATAGTATTTTTTTAAATAGAAAAAAACAATTTCAGATGTACAGGAAAGCTGCTAAAATAGATTTGCCATATACTCTTCCCCCAGTCTCCCCTAGGATCAAAGCATTTTTAAAAACGCTACTTGAAGGAGACAGAAATTACAGGGAAGAAACCTTACAAGCACATAACAACTCTTTTTAAGAATCCCTAAAGAGATAATATACGACGGGTGTAGTGGCTCAAGCCTGTAATCCCAGCACTTTGGGAAGCGGAGGCGAGAGGATTACCTGAGCTCAGGGGTTCTAGACCAGCCTGAGCAACATGCCAAGATCCTGTCTCTACAGTAAATCAAAAAATTAGCTGGGTGTGGTGACACATGCCTGTGGTTTCAGCTACTTGGAAAGCAGAAGTGGAAGGATCGTCTGAGCCTAGCAGGTCAAGGCTGCAATAGCTGGGAGCATGCCACTGCGCTTCAGCCTGGGCAACAGAGTGAGACACTGACTCCAAAAAAGAAGAAAAAAGAGGTAATAATGATAACCATAAAATGAGAATGGAATCTTGAATAGGAGAAAAAGTGCTGCATGTGGTGGCTCACACCTGTAATCCCAGCACTTTGATAAGCAGAGGCGAGAGACTTGTCTGAGTCCGCGGGTTCAAGGCCAGCCTGGATAACATAGTGAACACAGTGAGAACTCATGTTAATAAATCAAGAAAAATTAGCCGGGTGTGGTGGCACATGCCTATAGTTCTAGCGACTTGGAAGGCTGAGGCGGAAGAATTGCCTGAGCCCAGCAGGTCGAGGCTGCAGTAGCCATGAGTGTGCTACTGCACTCCAGCCTGGGTGACAGAGTAGGACTACAACTCAAAAATAAAAAGAATGAAAGAAAGAAAAGGAGAGAAAAAAAAAAAAATCAATGAAACAATTCAAATTGCACTTGGTAAGAAAAATACTTGGGTGTATTATCTGCTTTCAGAAGGACATTCAAGTAGAGGAATTAAAACTTACTATGTAAAAAAAAGAAATATATGATTTTTTTTTTCTGGATAGTTTGCTAGTGTTGCTCTCTGTTGGTACACCAGAAATAAGAGGGAGACAGATATATTAAGTTGGCAACAGGATTACCTCAAGTAATCCCTCTACCATTTCTAACATCCAGCTAGACAGAAGTAACATATAATGCATACACCTACCGTGATCTGAAAACAAACATAAACCCAAAACAAAATAAAAACCCAAATCATCCCCATAGCTTGTCCTAGTGATAAGATCACATCCTCCCATAAGCTTCCCTACTCAAGTGACCCCTTACTGGCTAATGATGAAAAAAATTGAAATGACCCTTTACTGTTTTTTATAAAGGACAAAGTGATGACTTGGTCTCTGGTCCATCTGTCATTCACACAAAAAAAAATCCTTTGTATTGCTGCCAGTTGGGGAAAAGAAAGAAGACTGAAGTTTGCCAGCTTCTTCCTTCTTACCTTCTCTTTGAGAAAAATAGGCCATCAATTTCTTTCCAACTTTGAAAAGGAGCAGGTGGAAATTACCTCCTGTCCTGAGAAGCATTAAGAAGTAGTTTCCCTTCTTTCAAAACCATCTTATACTTTATACTTGCAGACTTTGTCACAACAATACTTATACTAGTTAATTTAAGACTCAACATTTTTGCAATTCACTTCTTTTGGAAACTAGATATGATTCGCTTATCTTTCCCTCTATCTGTTCCTCTCCTCTAGTATTACATGTCTCATTGAATGCAACCACCAAACATTAGCAGCTCAAGGCAGAAACTTGGGAGTCACATACAGGTTTTTCTCTTTAAGCAGCTCACATCTAGTCTGACACTCAGTTTGGCCATTTTTACCACCCTTCTGACCGGTCATCCGCCAGCACCCTCAACACAAATTAACTTTTCAAAATTTCTGTGTGCTGATATATGTAAAATAAAGGCTCATGGCTGAATGAATTGTGTCATCAATACTTCCCCCCCGCCCTAGTTATTCTATGCCACATCTTTGGCTGTCATGAATACTTTAAATCATGGAGAAAAAACTTCGAGCTTCTGGGAACTGAACAGTTTTGAATATTGCTACTTACTTTGGAAATGCATCAAAACAGTAGGTCTTCTTGGTATCAGGAAAAGCAACACGCATTCCCGAGGTCAGAGGAGAATGAAGAATAACAGCAGCACTCTCATACCGAGCAGCAAGATCCACAGATGGTACTGTCCCTATACTCTGGCCATATATAATCACATTTTCAGGGCGAATGCCATATCTACAAGTTCAGAAGTTAAAAAAAAAAGTTGAACTGGTATGAAATGTTCCATCATTCCTAACAATTTGATCTCAGAATAACAGAATGAGACAACATCAACTCACTATTTTTTAAAATTTCAGTTTCTTAGTAATAAAATAAAAACCATCATTTTTAACGTTTCAACAAAATCTATATTCGCAGTTTATTTCATGTGCTTCAATTTCATCTTTTGGGAGATGTTTTAAAATTTTAGTTTTAAAAAATGAATGTATTAAATCATATATTATGCTATAGTAATTCAACCGGGCATACTGCTGACTAAATTTGGAACATTTCACTAATATTTTGATGACCTGATGTTGAATAGATGTATTACGTTTATTTTCCATTCAGTGTAACAAAAGTTCCTTATTTCTCTAGACATCAAGCATGGTTCATTTTAATTTCTGTAACTGGACATACTAATGAACTATTACATATAACTAATGTATGCAATTAATAAAATACATGTACAGCTTTAGTAAAGAGCAAATTATTATTTCTCCTGAAATTTACTTTAGCTTAATTGTAGAAACTGACTAATGACCAACCAAAATAATAAGAATACCAAATACCATATGGCTTTGTTATTTATGCACAGAATTCATGCTAAAATCTCAAGTACTGTTTCACCCCTGTTAAAATAACTGCAAATTTTGAGCTAGACACGGTGGCTCATGCCTGTAATCCCAGCACTTTGGGAGGTGGAGGCAAGAGGATTACCTGAGCCCACTGGTTCGAGGCCTGCCTGGGTTCGAGCCCAGTGGTTTGAGACCTCGTCTCTACAATAAATCAAAAAATTAGCCCAGGCCTGGTAGTGCATGCTTGTAGTTTCAGCTACTTGGAAGGCTGAAGTGGAAGGGATCACCTCAACCCAGTAGGTCGAGGTTGCAGTGGCCGTGAGTGTACCACTGCACGCCAGCCTGGGAGACAGAGTGAGACTCCAACTAAAATAAAAAAACAAAACAACAAAAAAGACTGCAAATTTAAATATGTGAGCTCACTGACTCAATAAAAATATGCCAGGCCACTTAGAAGGCAGACAGCAGTCACTTTGACAGTTAAGAGTCATTTATACAACAGCTACTCATCTGTTTGAAAGGCAAGAGAGCTTTGAGAATCTGGACATTTACCAGGAAAGAGCAAGGCAAGCTATCCATGAGTTCAAGACAATTTCTTCTACACAGGTAGTGACACACCTCCCCACAGTTTCTCCCAATCTATCCTGTACAAGCATTTGGATCTGATACAGAAGTGGGGCTCCCTCTCCTCCAGACTGACTCTAAATGTTATTTAAACTCAAAAAAGCTTTTTTCTTCACAACAGATCTAGTTGTATATTTCAAAGGAAAGCAGAAATTAGGAGAATGAACATTTGCAGCATAACAGCTCTTGAGACTGAACTGTTGCTGCCAGTTGAATAGCAGTATTGTTGGTGGCGATTATAAAATCTGGGCTAAGCTGGCAATGACAAAACTCTGATAGAGTAGCAGGGGTAGCTGCCAATTAAGCATCAGAGAACTCATAAGAGTAACAATTTCATGCCTGGGCAGCGAGACCTCATCTTAAATCAAAAAATCAGCTGGGAGTGGTAGCGCGCGCCTGTAATTCCGGCTACTTGGAAGGCTGAGGTGGAAGGATCGCCAGAGCCCAGCAGGTCGAGGCTGCGGTGGCCGGGAGCGGCCACTGCATTCCAGTCTGGGCGACAGAGTGAGACTCCAACTCAAAAAAAAAAAAAAAAAAAAAAGAAAAACAATTTCATAATACTGTAAGTTAGAAAGGACTTTACAGACCATTTAGTCTAGTCCAGTTGTGTAACGAGCAGATGTTCAAAGTCACAGTGACAGAACTATGATTATAATAACCCAGGTATACTGACTCCCAGTCCAGTATTTTTTTTTTTCCCATAATAGCACAGAGATAAGGAGCACAAGGCCTATGAGGAAAAGTTGCATACTAAATAAATGCAGGTCCTTAATTTCTTTTGGTCCACTTTAAGGTCAGAAACTGGAGTTATTAGGGATATCCAATTTTCCTCAAAAGAACATCATTCAAATAATAATTCTTCAAGTTCATGATTTATTTTCCTTTTCCTGGTAACCTAACTCTTAACTTTTGTTAGGTAAAGAAAACAAAATGCATGCATCCTAATTATACTCATTTCCTAAGACAGAATTCTAGCAATGGAAAAGATCCAGTCATTTAACTTAACTTCTTCATTAACTGGAGAAAGGAACAGTAGCTCAGAGAAGTTCAATAAATTTCTGAAACTATCTAAACGAACTCTTCTAAGTGTAATTAGGGTTCAACATAAAAGAAAACACAAGTCTAAAATTCTAAAATATATGTGCTAAAATAGTAGGTGGGATTAGGAACCTGCCCTTATTCCTTATTAATACTGAACATCAAATATGTTGAACAAAGATTAATTAATCAAAACTAAAAATCATTTTTGAAAGTTTCCTTCAAGATGGGCATGATGACTCATGTGTTTAATCTCAGCACTTGGAAGGCTGAGGTGGGAGAACTGCTTAAGGCCAGGAGTTTGAGATCGGCCTGGGCAGCAAAGCGAGAATCAGGCTCTATAAAAAATAGAAATAAGTGAGTAAATTTTAAAAAGTTCTTCATATCTGATAAGATAAAAAAATGAAGGCTACACATTTTAACTTAGCTCCCTTTAAAAGTATATTATTCCACAGAAGTTATACTTTTTTTTTCTTTTTTTGAGCTGGAGTCTCCCTCTCTCGCCCAGGCTGGAGTGCATGCTCCTGGCCACTGCAGTCTCAACTTGTTGGGCTCAGGAGTGATACTTCCACCTCAGCCTTCCAAGTAGCCAGAACTACAGGCACATGCTACCAGATGTCCAGCTAATTTTTTGGTTTATTGTAGAGATGAGGTATCACCATGTTGTCCTGGCTGGTCTTGAACTCGCAGGCTCAGGCAATCCTTTCACCTAGGCCTCCCAAAATGCTGGGATTATAGGCATGAGCCACCACACTCAGCCAGAAGTTATACATTTTTTTTTTTGAGTTGCAGTCTCACTCGTCTCCCAGACTGGAGTGCAGTAGCCACTCCCGGCACCGCAGCCTAGACCTGCTGGGCTCCGGCGATCCTTCCCCCTCAGTCTTCCAAGTAGCAGGAACTAGAGGTTCGTGCTACCACACCCGGCTAATTTTTTGATTTATTGTGGAGATGAGGTCTCACCAAGTTGCCCAGGCGGGTCTCGAACCCACGAGCTCAGGCAATCCACTCATCTTAGCCTCCCAAGGCGCAGGATGATTACAGGCTGAGCCACCGAGTCCGGCCAGAAGTTATACTTTAAGTGTGAACTTTATGGTATGTAAATCATATTTCTTTTCTTTTCTTTTCTTTTTTTTGAGTTGGAGTCTCACTCAGTCGCCCAGACTGGAGTTCTGTGGACGCTCCCGGCCATCGCAGCCTCGACCTGCTGGGCTCCAGCGATCCTTCCACCTCAGCCTTCCGAGTAGCCGGAATTACAGGCACGCTCTACCATGCCCGGCTGATTTTTTGATTTATTGTAGAGATGAGGTCTCGCTGCCCAGGCGGGTCTCGAACCTGTGGGCTCAGGCAATCTACTCACCTCAGCCTCCCAAAGGCGCGGGATTACAGGCTGAGCCACCGAGCCCGGCTGTAAATCATATTTCAATAAAGCTATTATTTTCAAAGAATTATAATTCTTTCTGGAGTTGCTATACCTCATTCAACTGACTGCCTCTGTAAAGTAAGTACTCATTTTATGTTTGTTTTAAGGTCTAATAAACCGGAAAAAGATTTTGATTTAAAGCAGTTCTTACATTTATAAACTAAACAAAAATTACCCCCCCCCACCCCGTGAACTCTTTACCTGCTACTTGGTTTACACTTGCAACTTATGCTTTTATATAATTTCTTCTTCTTCTTTTTTGGAGTTGGAGTCTCACTCTATCACCCAGACTGGAGTGCAGTGGCTGCTCCCAGCCACCGCAGCCTCGACCTGCTGGGCTCCGGCGATCCTTCCAGCTCAGCCTTCCCAGTAGCCGGAGCTACAAGCGCGCGCTACCATGCCCAACTAATTTTTTTTGATTTATTGTAGAAATGAGGTCTCGCCAAGTTGCCCAGGTAGGTCTCAAACCCGCAGGCTCAGGCAATCCACTTGCCTCAGCCTCCCAAAGCACGGGATTACAGGTTGAGTCACCGAGCCCGGCTGCTTTTATATAATTTCCACTGATTTAAGAATCTATGAAAAATTTGATAAGAGCCCAACTTTATCATATATCTGGGAAGAAATAGTTTTTTTGTTTGTTTGTTGAGTTGGAATCTCACTCTGTCGCTCAGGCTGAAATGCGGTGCAATGCTCATGGCCACTGCAGCCTCGACCTGCTGTGCTCAGGCGACCCTTCCGCCTCAGCCTTCCAAGTAGCTAGAACAACAGGCGCACAACCACAACATCCAGCTAATTTTTAATCTTATTTTTTTTGAGTTGGAGTCACACTCCGTTGCCCAGGCTGGAGAGTAGTGAGTGGTACACTGACGGCCACCCCAGCATCCACCTGCTGGGCTCCGACGATCCTTCCACCTCAGCCTTCCAAATAGCTGGAACTACAGGCCTGCGAAACCATGCCCAGCTAATCTTTTTTTGAGTTCAAGTTTCACTGTGCTGCCCAGACTAGAGTGCAGTGGCATGCTCATGGTCACTGCAGCCTCGACGTGCGGGGCTCAGGCAACCCGTCCGTCTGTCTTCTAGGTAGTTGAAACTATGGACGCATGACACCACGCCTGGCTATTTTTTGTGATTTATTGTATAGATGAGGTCTCCTTAAGTTGCCTGGGCTGGTCTCAAACCTGCAGGCTCAGGCAATTCACTCACCTTGGCCTCCCAAAGTCTTGGGATTATAGCTTTTTTCTTTTTCTTTTTTTTTTTAATGTAGAGATGAAGTTTTGCCAAGGTGCTGGGATTATAGGCATGATCCACTGCTCTGGGCCAGGAAAAGTAGTTGTAAAGATATTTTTTCTTTTTCTTTTGAGTTGGAGTTTCACTCTGTCACCCAGGCTGGAGAGCAGTAGCACATTCTCGGCCACCACAGTCTCAACCTGCTGGGCTCAGGCGATCCTTCCACCTCAGTCTTCCAAGTAAATGGAACTACAGGCACACGCCACGCGGCCCGGCTAATTTTTTGATTTATTGTAGAGATGAGGTCTTGTGAAGTTGCCCAGGCTGGTCTTGAACCTTTGGGCTCAGGCAATCCTCTTACCTCAGTCTCCCAAAGTGCTGGGATTATAGGCGTGAGGCCCGGCCTTGTAAAGATATTTTTTAAAAAACAACTTCTTCTATTATTAAAATTGAGGAGGAGCTCCCTGACTAACTGAAGTCATTAATATTTAAACATTAAATTAAAAAGACTGAGTATTCTTAGCCAGGCTCAGTGGCTCAGCCTGTAATCCCGTGCCTTTGGGAGGCTGAGGTGACTGAATTGCCTGAGCCCACAGGCTCGAGACCCGCCTCGGCAACTTGGTGAGACCTCATCTCTACAATAAATCAAAATGAGTCGGGCGTGGTAGCACATGCCTGTAGTTCCAGCTACTTGGAAGGCTGAGGTGGAAGGATCGCCAGAGCCCAGCAGGTCGAGGCTGCGGTGACCAGGAGCGGCCACTGCACTCCAGTCTGGGCAACAGAGTGAGACTCCAACTCAAAAACAAAAAACAAAAAAAGACTGAGTTTTCTTTATGTGCTCTAGTTTATCAACATACAAAATGAAGAATAACTCATACTAAAATATCTATTTCTTGTACACCAAACTGATTGATAAGAAAATACAGTGAAGTCTTCCAAATTGTGATTATTTGTCCAGAAAAATGTTTAAGTATCTTTGTGACCAGAGAGGATTAATGTGATTCCTAATTTCCCAAAATGTATTTTGTTATAATCTAACAGTAACTGGTATAGTAAGAGACTTTTCATAAACAATTTGTCATAACATTACTTTTTTTTTTTAACTTGAGATCATCTCAAGTAAAAAAAATCTTAGGAATCCAGAACATAATGAATCATTTTACATAATGAATACTTTCGAAATAGTTTCAGTTGGGCACGATGGCTCATGTCTGTATGCAATCCCAGAAATTTGTGAGGCAGAGGCGAGAGGATTGCCTGAGCCAAGGGGTTCGAGACCAGCCTGGGAAACTTGGGGAGACCTCATCTCTACAATAAATAAAAAAATTAGCCAGGTGTGGTGGCACATGCCTGTAGTTCCAGCAACTTGGAAGGCTGAGGCGGAAGAATTGCCTGAGCCCAGCTGATAGAGATTGTGGTGATTTGACATCATGCCACTGGCACACTCCAGCCTGGGCGATAGAGGATGACTGACCAGGGAAAAAAACAGTTCCAATAAGGTATCATTAAGTTTTACCTTCCAAGAGATAATTATATAAAATATTGCAAATCCTAGCTTAGGATTTTAATAGAAAACAATCCAGCCTCTTACACTGTTAATAATAGCTCGTGAATGATTACCTAAATCACTGTTTTCTCTCATTCCCTTGAAATGCTGCAACTCTAATTAAACATTTTTATATCACACTCCAGTAAAGAAGTTTATAAAATGAAATATTTGCCACTGGAATTAAATTTTTTTTAAAAATCATACAAATATACATATTTATTAATATAGACAAGCGTACTTCCTGCTATTGTGTGCAATGTAAAACTGCAGTCTAAAAGTTTAACTATTCATAGATATACAAATATAATTTCTATGTAGCCGTTTAACATATATGTAGCAAAAGGTTTTTATTGTATTCTCATGCAGAATAACTTTAGTTAACCATGGTAAATACAAAAAGCAATTTCCAATCCAATTTACCTTGTTCTAAGAGCAAGCCATGCAGCTTCAATGTCTGCATAGAGGTTCTTCTCTGTTGGTTTTCCAGAACTTGCACCATATCCAGAATAATCATAAGAGAATATATTACAATTAATCCGTGATCCTAGTCCTATGTAAAAGCTGCTCATCTGACCAAGATCAACAGCGTTTCCATGTGAGAAGAGTAAAGTGTATTTGGCATTGGGTGAACAACGCACAAACATACAGGCAATTCTGTTGCCTTTACTGGTTCTAGTCATGAAACACTCAATCGCATCTTTTTCTCTGGAAGAGTACTGCCAGTCTGCTCGTTCTGATAGATGCAAAGTCCAACGGCTTCCACTTTCATCACACATCAGTGTGTAGGTTGGATCAGGTGGCAAAAAAGCTAATTTTGAAGCAATTTTCCCTGGACAAGGTGGACAGCAGAAGAGGCAACATAGCTCACTAAATGAAAGATTATTCATGTTCTGAAAAAGAAAAGGACATAGCAAAATTTTAACAGTTGAATGTGGAGTCTGCATCATCATACAACAGAAGACAAAAAGAGATGGGTAAATTTTATTGGAGGTCAATGACTACTACTACTATTTTAAGTATCCTTTCAGATTTTTGGGTATCTTTCTAGAAATACTTTAAAAATTGTGGGGTGAGGCAAATATTCCAGACCAGTTGACAGACTGAAATGCTATGACAGGTTTCAAATAGTAGTGATTATTACCACATTCAACAAAATGTGAAAAATAATAGAGGTAATATTTGCTATTTCTCCACAAATAATATTGAAGGTATAAAACTTTTTTATAGTAGTTTGTAATTTCTATGTAACTCAGTGAAAATTCTTAGAATCCCATGTTGAAACTAGGGTATAACACGATAAAGTAAATAAATAATAGCATTTATGATGCATTTATTTACCTAGCATTGTGCTAAATATATGTTACTTTGTTCAATCCTCAAAACAACCCTATAAATTGGTTTGAGAAAAGAAACTTTTTGCAAAGGTGAGGCAGTGGTAGAGCCAGCATTTGACACCAGGCTCAGTCATTATGCTACATCACTGGGCTACACTGCGCCTCATGAGTTCAGAACACTATTTGTCTCAGAAGCTTATCATCTTAGTCACAGTGTCAGAGACCCAAATAATCTATAAAATATAAAATCATATGTATGTATGCATGTATATTTATGTAATTATTGTCCAAACCCAAAGGGCCATAATATAAAGTTTATTATGAAAAAAGGGTAAATTCCACTGAAGGTAAAATCTTTTTTTGTTGTTTTTTTGAGTAGGACGCTCATGGCCACTGCAGCCTTGAGTCGGTGAACTCAGGTGATCCTTCTGTCTTAGCCTTTCTAGTAGCTGGAACTAGAGGCATGTGCCACCATGCCCGACTAATTTTTTTATTTATTGTGGAGACAAGGTCTTGCCAAGTTGCCCAGGCTGGTCTCGAACCCCTGAGCTCAGACAATCCTCTCGCCTCCACCTCCCAAAGTGCTGAGATTTCAGGCATAAGCCACTGCATCTGGGTAGGGTAAGATTTTCTAAATGTATAGATAAAAAAAACAAGGTTTAGATTTAGTCAGAGGGCAAGGGTAGAACTGAAACTCTACCACTTATTTGCTGTGTGTCCTCAGCCAAATTACCTCCTTGATCATTTCCTTCATAAGTAAAGAAGGTCAATACCTACACTGACATAAGTGGTTGTGGAGATCAAATACAATTGTGTGGTGAAAGCATATCATACAGTGATGGTCATCTAGTTGGCAAACTCAAGAATGGCCTACTTTTTCTTATGTCTTTTTCATTAATATTTTACTAACTCAGAGATAAAAATAAAGTAATACTTGTTTGCTCCCTGAAGTGTGCTGAGAATGATTCTAAGGGCATGCACAGGGCTTAGCCGGCAAAGGTATTCAATAAATTAGTGATGTCTACTATAAAATCTGGCTGCAAATTTATTATCCTTGGCAGGAGGATAAAGAACCCAATGAAGAAAAGAAAAGGAATGGGAGTTCAAGTGTCTGTTCCAGAAGAGATGACCTGGAGAAAGAAGATAAAGTGGAAGGTACAATACATCAATTCTGTCTGTTTAATACTCTGCCTGTGGTTATTTCTCAACCCCAATGACCTCACATGCCATTGACTGCTGACCCACAATAGCCATTGAAAGCTTGATTAATAAGTAAATTGTATAAATCTAGGCTATGTTTCCATAATTTACCTCTTCACTAGATAATCTTTTTATACACTGTAATAAGCTAGTTTTGAAAAAAGATTGGTTGGCTAAACATATATGATGTTGTAATTGCTTTTGGGCATGAACACCAAAGGAAAGAAGCATAAAGGAGAAAAGCTGCAATGCCAGGGTTTAATTAAATGAAAAGGCAACCTTGTTTAACGTGTTCTTATACAACTCTTCCTCAGTCTTTCAAGTAGCTGGAACTACAGGTGTGTGCCTAGCTAATTTATTGCAGAGATTATGAGGTCTCGACAAGTTGCCTAGGCTGGGCTTGAACCTGTGAGCTCTGGCAATCCTCTCAACCTTGGCCTCCCAAAGTGCTAGGATTATAGGCGTGAGCCACTGCGCCCGGCCACTAGTTATTTCTTGACAAGGAAATCTTGGAAGAGACAAGGCAGTAAACAATGCTACAGAAAAAATTATAAGACACTTGGAAGTCACAAAAACCATGTAAGAGACAACAGATTGAAGAACCTATAGCAGAAAAAATTTGTGTATCAGACAAAACAATAAATTAATATGTTACAGTAAAATCTTAAAAAAGCTACAAGAAATAGAACTGATAACAGTTAAAGAATACATTAGTGAGCTGAATGATCCAGTTGATGATTGCATAAATATGGACTTTTTTTGGAGAGGAGGGGATGAAGAGAGAGAAGATTAGTAGATAATGAGAAGTAGAAATATCAATACCCATACTATAGTAGAATCACAAGAAAATTGGAGGAGAAAATAAAGATTATATAAGCGCTTTTTAGAGTTAAAGAAAAAAAATTTCTTATCCAAGTAGCTCAAAGAGAGCTGGGCATAGTGGCTCACGTCTGTAACACCAGCGCTTTGGAAGGTTGAGGTGGGAGGATCCCTTGAGCCCAGGAGTTAGAGACCAGCCTCGGCAACATAGCGAGATCTCATAACTACAAAAAATTAACTAGGTGAAGTGAACACTTACAGTCCCAATTATTGGGAGGCTGAGCTGGAAGATCACCTGAGCCCAGGAGGTCGAGGCTATAGAGATTGTGCCATTGCACTCCAGCCTTGGTGACAGAGTGAGACCCCGACTTTAAAAAAAAAAGAAAGAAAATTACAGATGAACAAGAATCAGATAAACATAGGATTTTTCAGTAGCAACACCAGAAACCAAAAGACATTGGGGGAATAATTTTAAAGTAAGGAAAAGCCGGGCTCGGTGGCTCAGCCTGTAATCCCGAGCCTTCGGGAGGCTGAGGTGAGTGGATTGCCTGAATCCGCGGGTTCGAGACCCGCCTGGGCAGCGAGACCTCATCTCTACAATAAATAAAAAATCAGCCGGGCATGGTAGCATGCGCCTGTAATTTCAGCTACTCAGAAGGCTGAGGTGGAAGGATCGCTGGAGCCCAGCAGGTCGAGGATGCGGTGGCCGGGAGCGGCCACTGCACTCCAGTCTTGGCGACAGAGTGAGACTCCAACTCAAAAAAATAAAATAAAAAATAAAAAATAAAGTAAGGAAAAAACGAAACTTTGAATCTAGATAATTTTACATGAAGCTAAAAACCACTTTAGCACGAGGATCAAGATATCTGCAGGCTTAACCCAAACCAAGCACCTCTTTGAAAAACTCCAGCAATAAAGTTGAGATACATCCACAGAATTCTATGAGCTATCTGAGATATGGGAAACAAAGAATTGTCAATATAATGTTTCTTTATGCAAGTAAGCAGCGTGGGAATAAGTGGAGTGTAACAAAGTATATCCCTAACAATTCAGAATCAAAATTTGAGAATAATATGAAGAGGACTGGAGGAAGAGTTAGGGACTATTTAAGAGGTAAAAATGTGCTGGGGCACCTGACTTGTTCAGAGTAATATTGATACTGATAAGCTTAAGACATGGAAGGAAAATCACTTTTAATAAGCCAGTTATAAGATTATAGTGTGTAGGTCACATCTAAAGTATTTATGATTGCTTGTTGGAATTCCTGATATTGAGCTTGCTTCTATTTAGGAAATGATGATGCATTTGCAAAACAATAAACACTATGGCCACACATAAGGAAACAGTCAAAATTATTAATTATAAATGTCTAGCTTTTCAATATTTATCAGAGTCCAACTTAAGGAGAGGGTAAGCACAAACAAGAAACATTAAAGGCAAATATCAACAAAATAGAGAATTAAAAGCAATGAAGAAATAAAAGCTGACGGTTAGAAAAGGCTTCCACCACTACTAATAGCAAATAGCAGTAACTAAACACTTATTAAATGCCAGAAACTGTTTGAAACACTTCATACATTAACTTATTTAATGTTTCAACAACCATCTGACACAGGGACTATCATTACACCTGTTTTGCAACTGAAGAAACAGAGGTACAAAGTAGTTATGTAACGTGCCTAATATAACACAGCTGGTAAGAGGTAGCACTGATACAAGGCAGAACGATTCTGTAGCCTAAACTCTTAACCACTGTTGTGTGAAGAGTACTCAGACAAGATGGATCACAAGAGATAAGCAAATTCACAAATACTGAACTAAATGAAAAAGGAGCATGAGCTACAAAGATTTTAAAAACAAAAGAATAATGAGTCAAATTAAATAACCTTAATAAAATGCATACATTTCTTAAATTTCTTGAGTAATAAAAAGGCTAGAATATGCAAATAACCACAAAACCTTGAAATGAAAATCAAAGACGACCTTCACCTAAAACACTCTTTTATTTTTGAGGGGGAGTTTCATTTGTCCCCCCAAGCTGGAATGCAGTGGTTCTATCTCAACTCACATCCTCACCTCCTAGGCTCTGGCAATTCTTTTGCTTCAGCCTTTCCAGTAGCTGTACTATAGGCACACGCCACATACATCTGGTTAACATTTTTTAGAGAAGATGTCTCCCTATGTTGCCTTGGCTGGTCTTGAACTCCTGGGCTCAAGCAGGCCTCCTACCTCGACTTCCCAAAGTGCTGGATTACAGGAGTGAATCACTGTGCCTAGTCAACTTTCAAAGAATAGTGAAATTATTCCAGAAAAAAAGAATGCTGTCCAACAATCACTTTCTGAAGCTATTTTAAGCTTTATCCTAAAACTTAGCTTGTTAAGAAAAACTAAGTACATTTCACACTCTCTTTATAAAAAGACCTGTAAAAATTAGAAATAAAGCTGGGTACAATAGCTCATGCCTGTAATACCAGCACTTTGGGAAGCGGAGGTGAAAGGGTTGCCTGAGCTCCGGGGTTTGAGACCATTCTGGTTAACACG